TTGACTTGTAGATCCTCGTCTTCACTTTCAAATTCCTCCAGACTCTCGTCACCCATGGCCTCTACCACCCTTGACCTCTACCACCACCTCCATCCCTACTTTCCCAGGCTGTTCCCTCTGCTTAGCAAACAACAGCCTGCTTCACGTTCCCCCACCTGATTTGCCCCACTATCAGTGGGTTCACGTTCAGCCTCTCTACCCCTGCTCTCTGGAACTCAATCCAGTCTCGATCGATCCTCCCACATTCCCTCCCTCCAAAGCTCAATTTTTATTTGACTCTATTTGAACCTGAACTTGAAAGAGTTGCCTGGACCAGAATCAGAATTGTGAATCTAATTGTTTTTCAAGCAGAGTGATTTATTTGGCTCTCTCTTGGCTCCTGCAGTTGCTTTAATCTAGTATCCAAGCTATTAACTTATTTATTCTAGTGGTGTTTCCATATATTATGCCCCTATTGCCTCACTCTCTGGAACTCTCTCAAAATGCCTCTGCTGTGTGTGCCTTCTCTCCCTGGCTTCAAAGCCCTCTTAAAAATGCGTCTCTTTGAACATAGCTTGGTCAACTCCCTACTTCCTTCTCCTTCCCTCCCTGCTCAGCGGTCATCTTCTGAGAAGCATTTTGAGACGTCCTTTGAGATAGAATAATAATCCCTTCAAAAATAATTTGAAAAAATGTGGTGACTCAATCCACAACTGCTTGTGGGACACTACTGTGTGCACTTGTCTGCTGCATTTCGCCCACAAAACATACAGTCAGTTCACTTTACAGTCTATTCTGTGAAGCCTCAAGTAAAATTGGTCACTCATTCCATGGCTGATTGTAGGTCATTGCTATGTGGAAATTTGTTGTCATGTTTGCCTACAAAACACAGTCACTACACTTTACAGTAAATCCTGTGAAGCGCTTTCCTGATGTGGAAGGTGCTGTATGAAAGGCAAGGATTATTAATTATTTTAGCTGTCTCATTTTCCCCCAAAGCATGCTCCAACAACGGATTCATTTTTCAACAAATGTTTCACCCATTGATTTCCAAGACTGCAGTGTGTCAATTTATTTTTGTCCCACTGGCACGTGCTTCTCTCTTCTGGGTCACATTTCCTCAAGCTGGGGTGTGGTATAACGGGAGCTGGTTGCCCTCCGATACCTGCCCAAGCGATTATTGTTCTTGTGTGAGCCTCTACAGTAAGTGTTGGTAGGTCACTCGACTGAAGAGGGCATCACAGGTGAGCCTGACCCCTCCTCACCCAGCTGCCACACACGCGTACAAGTAGAAGAAGCCTTGGCTTTGGCTTCTCTAACCCTAGGAAGGCCAAGATCAAATTTAGCCTCTCCTCTCAGCCCTGGTTGAGACCAGCACAGACAGGGATTCAAACCAGCAAGCTTCTGGCCCATAGCTGCAGCTCTCCGCTCTACATCACGGTGGCTTGCCCCAACACATAAATTTGGGATGTACCTACAGAGACTGTTCCAGACACTGTCTGGTAGAAGGTTTCAACAGTAAGAGAAGGTACAAAGCTTTGTGACCTGCTTTCTCTACCAACTTTATGGTACAGATGCCAGTGATCAGTTTCAGCTCTGGTAAATCTGGTGCTGCTGTTACAGTATAGATCTGCTTAGATTAGCAGTTGTGTGTCCCTCTGGGGAATGAGGACAACGTTCCGTCCTAGACGCAGAAATTTCCTGTCAGACACCTGGCTGATCAAAATAAAATCTTTGTGAGTATCTTGATATTCCAGGCATTTTAAGGACATCTGCCTGCTTCTCTGCCGTTGTTTTTCTGCGGATGATTGATTCTTGTCATGTACCTTCTTGGCAGGAACGCAAAACTTCAATGAATAATTATTCTACAAATCCCGCTCTGAAAAGGAAGAGCAAGCAGAGAGCCAACATTGCACTGGTACTTATAACTCTTAAGCCTGTGCAAAAGAACAACCTTCAACATTAAGAAGTATCTTGCCATTTGCCTGTTGCAGTTTAAAAACAGTCCTATTAATTCTGTGCTGGCATTTCTCTCCACCCAGTTTAATGCCACTCTCCTGCTCGTTCCCCTCGTACCCTTTAAATATTCCTCTCCTTCAAGCGTTCTGTCTTGTACAATTTGACCTTTCGATCCATGATATTTTCTGTGAAAATTTTGCTTGCTGTGCTGTGACTGTGCTGATCAAGGCTTGGCAGCTACACGTGACCTGAATCACTCAGCTTCCTCAATGCCCAGGAATATGGTATGCTCAAACTGCGAGTTAGAGGCCAGTGTTCCTTAAAGAGAGCAGCCAGTCGCAGCATTGCATTTAACATTCTTAGGGCTGAGTACCATTTGCCTAGCATTCTTACAGTGTAGTGGTTGCTGCATTCGTCTCGCAAGCGAAAGGACCCGGGTTTGATTTCCAGGTTGGCGGGAAATCTTCCTTACACCACATGCCTTTGTTTATCTAGCAGTAAGTACGAACCCGGTTGTTAGTCGATTGACGGATCACTTGCTGGGGATAAAAAANCAAAATCCACAACCGTTTGAGGAACACTGTGTGAAATTGATTGCTGCAATTTGTCTACAAAATACACAGTCAATCCACTTTAAAATATATTCTGGGAAGTGCTTTAAGACATCTCAACGATGTGATAAGACAAAAAATATTATTGTTATTAGCAAGAGGGCCAGGTTGACACTTCATTCATCTTTCCTGCATTTTAATTGTTGTTTTAATATCCCAAGCTATGATTCCCCCACTCCCACCCCGCAGCACTTTTTTCTGAATCGTAACAATAATGTCTTTATTCACTACATATTTTGTTAAAAATAGTTTCCTAGTTATAAATGTTTTTTGTCTCTCCAAACTTTTCTGCTAATTTTTCCTCTCCTCCACTCCTGCAGCCATTTAACGCCTTGTGTCTGATCCCTCACCCAGTTGGGCATTATTCGCATGTAAGCCTTGATGCAACAACAACAACAAATTGTATTTATACAGCACCTTTCACGGACATCCCCAGGCACTGGACAGTTGAAAGTTTGCAGCCGAGCTGGGGTTTCGATTCGAGAGGGGTGGGGGCGAAGGTGGGTGGTGGTGGGGGGTGGGGGGGTAAGAAGATGATCAAAGGCGCAGTCAAAAAAGGTCCTTGAGATGGAGCTTGAAAGAGGCAAGGGAAAGGGCGAGGCCAAGGGGTTCCAGGATGCAGTTCCAGTGGATCGGGACAGAAAGACTGAAAGGCTGATAGAGGAGCGGGCCAGTGCCTGATGAGCCGAGGGAGCAGACAAGTTGGTAAAGTTTTAATAGGTCACAGAGGCAGCGAGAGAGCATGAGGACAACGTGGAGAGTGAAGACAACGATCTTCAACTCTATCCTCTGGGGGATGGGGAGCCGATGGAGCCAGGCAAGGATGAGGGCGATCGGCTCACGGAGCTTAGTGCAGGTGAGGACACGAACTGAATAGTCGTGATGGTGATCGTTGGCAGCCTATTCACATCAGAGCCAAGCTGGATCCATTTCTCAACTGATGTCATCATTCACTCTCACCTTTGGGTCAGAAGGTGTTGGGTTCAAACCCCACACGGGGACTTTGAGCACACAGTCGAGGCTGATACAGTGCAGCGTTGGGGGAGGAACACACTGTCATATATCAAACTTTAAACCGAAGTTCCATTTGCCTGTTCAGGTGAATGTTAAAGATCCCATGGCATTATTTGAAAAGTGAAGGCCATTTCTTCTGGCTAACAATCCCCCCCAGAAAAATTAAGACATTCACTTCCCGGCTGTTTGTGGTACATTGCTGTGTGCAAATTAGCTGTCACATTCACCTATAGATTCAGTCACTACACTTCACAGTAAAATTTAAAGCACTTGGAGACATTTGAATGTGAGAATGTGCTACATCCAATGCAACTATTATTACATTAAACTCCTGATAACTCATCTCTCCAGGGAAAAGAGGCTCAGTGAGGAGTTATCAGGAGCGACAAATGTTAAGAATATGTATAAATACATAAATAAATATGGCCGGGGTATTGACAGCATGATAACTTTAGCTAGGGTCGAGTTATCAAGTCGAGTTTACTATATAAATCTTATAGATGAACCACACAGAGTGGCCTGGAATGATTTCGACAGATGAAGGGATGGGTGAACTCATCAGGATTTCAACACCAGTCCCAAATGCGGTAAAATATGGTTCAGGGTGAAATATTGGAGGCTTGAGCGTTAAAGAAGTACTTCCTTAATACTAAGTACTTTGCCCACAAAGTATACAGTCGATTCACTTTTCGCTATATTCTGCGAAGTACTTTGAGATTTCTCGAAGACATGATAAAGCACTTTACCAAATGCAAGTATTATAATTATTATTTAGCGAAGAGCTTCCTCTTAGAAGCGCATTTTAGTTCAAGACTCGTAAAATAAGGACTGCAGAGTTAAAGACAATGAGAGAAACATTTTGTTTTAAACATTAGCTGTTGAAACACCAGCCCTGATGTCAGAATATCAAAAAAATATATATGCTATTCTTTCTCTTGTGTCAGTGAAGAATTAAGATGGGAATAATCTGAAGCCATAAATAATTGACGGAAAATGTAATAAATAATACAAAAGAGCACAGACCCGGTTAGGTGGGTCAAGACTAAACAAGCAGCGAGTGTGCAGTAGTTGTGTACAATGTAGGACTTCTCTCCTGCTTTAGAACGTCTCCCTCTGCGTCTCTCTTTCTCTCTCACACTCACTCACTCTGCAGTTGGGAGGGAAAAGCGTGGCTAATCCTGCTGCAGTCCTGAAACTGTTGTTTTGTTTTGCCAAATTAAATAAGGATAAGATAATTGAAGGTCATATGATTCCCCCACTGGGATAGAGAGACCCACCACCAGCCAGCGGCTGCAGTAGAGAGAGCGAGAGAGAGTGTATGAGTGAGTAAGTAAGTAAGTAGAGAGAGAGAGAGAGCGACATTACAACATCGCCAGCTGATCACAGACACACCAGCCAGCCAGCCGCTCGCTCACTGCTTCCAGCCAGCGGCTCACTCACTCACTCACTTCTTCCAGCCACTGATCGCCGGGGCTGAGCGACCAAGCCATGGGCTTCACAGCTGATAGAGTCGGCTTCCAGCTCCGCTCACTGTGCCTCTTCGCTGCTCTGGGTAAGTTAGTCTCTGCACCTGAATTTCAAAGCTTTGCACCTGGAGCTTTGCGGGGAGAGAATGTGGGTGGGGGAGAGGCTGCGAGGATCCGACTCTTACGGCAAGAGTAAGAGAGGAGTCAATGGGATCAGTCAGCTGTGGCGTGGACAACCTGATTTGGTCAGTCTGCTACATGCAGGCAGAGAGCTTCATGAAGGTGTCAGTCGTCGAGTTTTCGGTGTTTCCAGAACACTTCAGAGAGGATCAGGGTGTAGCCAGTGTGTGACTCATAGGTAGGACTCTATGGTGGAAAGATGGGGGTCAGTGGTGAGAGACATATGGGTCAGCGGTGGAGAGAGCTGGGGGTCAGTAGTGAGAGAGATGGGGGTCAGCAGTGGAGAGAGATGGGGGTCAGCAGTGGAGAGAGATGGGGGTCAGTAGTGAGAGAGATGGGGGTCAGCGGTGGAGAGAGATGGGGGTCAGCGGTGGAGAGAGATGGGGGTCAGCGGTGGAGAGAGATGGGGGTCAGCGGTGGAGAGAGATGGGGGTCAGCGGTGGAGAGAGATGGGGGTCAGTAGTGGAGAGAGATGGGGGTCAGTAGTGGAGAGAGATGGGGGTCAGTAGTGAGAGAGATGGGGGTCAGTAGTGGAGGGAGATGAGGGTCAGTAGTGAGAGAGATGAGGGTCAGCGGTGGGAGAGATGGGGGTCAGTAGTGAGAGAGGAGGAGGGGAAGGGGTCAGTACTGAGGGGGGGGTGTTCAGTGCTGAGAGAGGGGTGAGGATCAGTGCTGAGAGAGTGATGGGGTTCAGCAGTGAGAGAGACGGGGGTCAGGGATGAGAGAGATCGGGGGGCCAGCGGTGAGAGAGAGATGGGGGGCAGTAATGGAGAGGTAATAATAATAATCCTTGCAGTTGATATACGTTTTTGAGACATCTTGAAGCACCTCACAGAATATATTCACTATATTTTGTAGGCGAAACGCACAGCCAATTGCGCACATAGATAATAAGCACAGAAATGGGGTTCAGTAGTATTGGGGGGAATGAAGGTTGGTGTTTTTTTTGTGGAGTGGACATGAGTTGAATTTAAATCTCCGGCTGAATGGAGAGATTACAGTTTCAATGAAGAACTTTCACTGTCGCAACTCTTTATTGTTTAAGACGCAATCAGCCTTCCTGCATCCTTTTATTCTCGGTGTTGGTGCTTGTCGCGCTCTCCCCCACTCCTCCAAATATCTGTTCAGTTCTCTCAGCATCTAAAACTACTGCCTTAGAATCTGTTTTGTTACAGTCCGGTTGTTGCGGGAGATGGAATTTTTCAGCTGAGACTCTTTAAAGGGGCAGAGTACAGAAAAGGTGCCTGGCAAACTTTATTCCATTTATTTAGAAGCCGCATAGAAGGCTCTGGGTATTTGATGTTGGGATGTTTGCGCCTGTCATCACTGTCGTGAAAATATCGCAGACTCCTTTCAGGGAAGGAGCGAGGAAAATATCTTCGCTCCATCGCTGAAAGACGACTCCATAAAGACCCTTACAACGCATTGGGTGTTACAGATTCAGTGTGTTTATGGTTGATAGAAACTGTAGCGTAATGGCTAGTACCTCGCAAGCAAGAGGACCCGGGTTCAATAACTGGGTGAGGCGAAATGTTAGGCAAGTTTCCTTTACTCTATATGCCTCTGTTTACCTAACAGTAAGTAGGAACCCGGTTGTTAGTGGATTGGCAGATTGCTTTCTGGGGATAATAATCCCTGCCCCCCAAAAATGTGGCTATTCAATCCACAACTGTTTGCGGGACACAGCTGTGCGCAATTGGATGCCGTGTTTCTCCCACAAAATACACAGTTAATCCACTTTACAGTATATCCCATGGCACGCAATGACATGTCTCAACAGCGTGATGCGATGCTATATCGAATGCAAGGATTATTAACGTTATTATTAAATCAGAGTGGATGTTACATACTCGGTGTATATACACGTCTGATAGAAACAGCTGCAGATCATTTTGCAATTGTTCTACAAACCGGCGAAAGTGCCTTAAACGTTAAACCTTGCATGCTTTGGGGGCTGTGATTTGCGGTTCAAATCTTGTCTCCCTCTCCTGCTCGCCCTGGAACGGTTAGATTTGCTTTCGCCCCTTTTGTTGGGAAAGTGCTGTCTTGTTGCCAAGTTTGGTTTATTGGAAAGGGCAATGCTTCAGCGCTTGCCAAATCCGCGGGAATGAAAGCAACCTCAGTGAATGAGAGAAATCTCAAACGGAGCTTTCCCAGTCTCTGTGCCCGTGAGAGGAGGTAAAAGTGGAACGCTGGAAGCAACAGGAGTGACTCATGTGACCATCAGGGCAATGAAACCGTTTGTATCTTTTCCGATAGAATCTGGGCGCCTCCTGCAGTGTCACCAAGCTACAGAATGGGACCAAAAGGCTTCATAATGGAGTGTTTGACAAACATGTTGTTTTCTAACTGTACTGGTCAAACCTCAAAGCAATCTGTGTCCCATCGTCAAGTCATGCATGGTTTTATCGATAAATCATCCTTGCATTTGACACAGCGCCTTATCACATCATTGCAAAGTCTCAAAGCATTTCATAGGATGTACTGTAAAGCGTAGTGATTGTGTGTTGGTAGGCGAACTTGGCAGCCATATTGTGCATGGCAATGTCACACAAACAGCCCTGAAGCGAATGACTAATTTATCTGGGGAATTGTTGGCCAGCACACCGGGAGAGAGAAGCTCCCTTCTCTTCTTGCGGGATCTTTAATGTCCACCGGAACACACAGTTGGGACTTGGGTTTAACTTGAGTCTCAGCAGACGGATGGTACCTCTGATAGTGCAGGAAGCCATGTCACCCACAGCTTCACTAAAGACTGCATTTAGATTTGGTCAGTCGGGTCTGGCACATGGGTAAACCCGTCACTGTGCTTAAGAGTATCCAGACCAGACTGAGGTGTTTGCCACCTACACGTGGAAATCTCCCTTGCATTTGAAATCTCCGCACCCTCTCTCCCTGGAGGGACACACGCTGCATACTTAATTCCAGAGAGTATTAACTTCAGGTTGGCAAGAGCCAAGGGTTGGGGACCCCAGAGTGTGTGTTGGGATAAGTGCTGGACTTTAACCAGCTAAAACTGCTATAGCTTGCCATTGCTAGCACTGTCTGGCAAGCTTTCTTGTTGCTTGTCCAGCCAGGGCCATCCTTCCCATTTAACAGGGGCTGAGTAAGGTCATTCAGAAGAGAAAAAGGGGAATGAGTGATGTGGTCAGATGGTGCGAGAAGAGACAGAGAAAGCGAGACACAACTTAAAAGATGAAGCCGAACATATTTTAGTACATCTGTTATTCAGTGGACTATTATTTCCGTTCTTCAATATCCAATCCACAAGATAGGAAATATAGTGAATGGCCTGAGGGTGAATGAGGCATCAAAGCGAGAATGGTATTCAGTAAAATATAATTATATTAGGAGAGAATTCAGTAAATTGGGAACAGAAAGCGTAGATGCAATAATAATATCCTTGGATTTGAAGTCATCGAAAAGCTTCGGAATTTACTGTAAGATGTAGTGACTGTGCTTTTGACATCCAATTTACACACAGCCATGAAGTGAGTGACCAATTTTATCTGGGGATTGCTGGCCAAGGCACCAGGAGAGATAAACTCCTTCTCTTTTCGAACAGTGCCAAGGGATCTTTAGCAGCCGCACGAACAGGCAGATGGGAACTCAGTTTAACATCTGATCCAAAGGACGGCACCCCTGACAGTGGAGCACCACCCCGACCCCCCGCCACCCCCCACCCCAGTACTGCACAGTACAGCATCAGTCCTGACGTGGGCTTGAATCCACTACCTTCTAACTCAGAGGCGAGAGTGCTACCAACTGAGGCAAACCCTTAATAATATGCGTACTATATAAAAAAAAGGGAACAGAGGAGTATGGGAGGGGGATAGGGAGGAGTGGAGGCTTATATGGAGTATGAACACTGGGGTGGACTAGCTGTTGGGTGGTACACTGTGTAATTCGCTCTGGGACGCTACCCTGCAAGTTGTTGTTTTGCTGTAATTCTACATCAAACCCAAAATGTAATAAATTAGCCTTGCATTTGATATCGAGCCTTTCATGTCTGAAGCACGCCTCGAAGTGCTCCACGGTATATACTGTAAAGTGTAGTGACTGCATATTTTTATAGGCAAACGCGGCAGCCGGTTTGCTCACAGCAATTGCCCATGAACTGCCATGAAGCGAATGACCGATTAGATGCAGAGGATAATTACTGTCGGGTGTAGTGACTGTTTTTGTGGGCAAATTATGTGCGCAGCCAGGACTCACAAACAGTCCAGAAGTCAACGGCCAATTCCGTCCAGAGGATCGCTGGCCACAAAAAACAGTGGCAAGTTTGCTTTGACAAGCAAACCACTTTCCTTCGAGTGGGAGTTTAGTAGGACAATTGAGTTAAATACTTGGATGTGATTTTCATTTTCTATATCCTTATTAACTGTGATTAACGTATACTGTATGCCCTGTTGTTGATGTTTAAAAACCTGGGAGACTGAATGCGGGACCACAGTAAAGCACATCACTTGATAATGCCTTGTTTTTACTTCTCTGAGCTTCCAGCACCAAAGCAACTCCCAGCGAGGATTTATCTTCCCGCTCGGAAATCTCCCCTCGGGCCAGCCGAGCTGGGCACGTGCACACTGAGTATACAGGCTGTTCACAAAGTCCTGTTACCCCATGTTTTGTTCCTACAGTGCACTGACCCACAACTGAAACATGTGAAAGAATGATGATCATTGCATATAGAAGCACTTCATTCTATTCAGTTCAATTGTTTCACTGTATTTAGACGTCCAGAGGAACGGTGTGTCTGTGTGAGTGTGCGTGTGAGTGAGTGCCATTATTTTCATGGCAGATAATGATCTGTCGCCGTATTCGGGGTGACATCTTACGTAACACGGATGGAGTGAGGAGGTGAAATGTATCTCTGATGACTTGTTTCAGCTCCTCCATAGTCTCACAT